CCGCCGCCACCAGGAGGGATATCAACATCCGAAACGCAAGCAATGGGGCCTGCCGTTCTCTACTCTGCACCGTCATCATGCAGCACGCATGCAAAGGTGTTCTGTTTGCCGTGCCAGGTGCTGGTGTGTGCAGTAGCACACTAGCATGCACACGGGAGGCAGAGGGGGGCACCGTGAACAGAGAAGGGGGGTATGACGGGGGTTTCGTGTATCGGTACAACAGCAGTGCAAACAATGTGGTGCACCCGCTCACATGTATAGCTACACTGTATACCAAGGCGCATGTAGGGCGTACCGCCTTCTTGTTATACCGGCGGGTGCCGTTTCACTGTCGAGTACAAACCACCTCAGATATGAGCTGCCGGCTGTGTGTCACCGATTAGACCACAGGCTTACTCGCAATACATATCTCCGACCATTCTTAGAAATAAACACGAAGTATTTTTACATTCGGAGCCTGGGAGAGGCCTCGATTATTTGTGCGTTTCTCACGAGTGGGTGGAGTGCCTCCCCCACGAGATGCGAAACTCATGGACATACATAGGGGAGGTAGAAAATTGCAGAGTTGATTAATAAAGGGTCCCAATGGGTCAGTGGGTCTGGGGGCTTCCCCTAAGAAGTCGGTTGGCCCCGCAAAAACTCCGCTAGTACTAATCATCAGGCTGTGAACCGTAGGCACTACTGTTGTACGTAGTTTTAGGCAGAACTTATCAACAGCGCATGCACGAAATGCACGATGTACATGCTGTGTACACCGAGTATATGCTATCCACCATGCGGACCTTCCAGGTTCACGGGTGGGACACAGACAGGTTGGTCTCGGCTACGATCCAACAACAACCGCCGCAGTCTTTTGCGAATGTTTTCGAGAGGCTTTCTATTATTGAACATTGAACTCAAAACGAAAAAAAAAAAAAATGTTCCTTTCTCGCCCGGGTACCTCACTCAACACGAGTGCCCCGACAAAGCCAACGGTAGCCCCCCCGCTCACGTCCATCACTTCCACAATAGTACTAGCCCACAGCAGTACATTAGTCCGACATGGGTCAAGCCCACCGAGCGATTTTTCAACGTGCCCTCTCTACCGAAAAACACCCAACAGGCAAAAACCTAGTATAGCAGAGGTTGACAACAACTACGGTACGCGTTGAGATCGAATCAATCATCGCCGCATCACCTATCCCCCTCTAGGAAAGCTATAGGGGCGACCGACTCCCTCTTGCCTTGCCCGCACAGAACGTTTTTCACCGAATACATACATGAATATATACTTCAATTTGAATCGCTCCTCCCGTCAACCGCCGTCGTCGTCGCTCCTGAATCTATAAACCTAACATACAGCAGCCCTACTCGACTGATGTGAATTTACGGCCGTTTTACTAGCAATGTCCTATTGTACCTCCCGTCTCTACCCCACTTGCAAGTCTTTTTTCGCACACACGACCTTCTATCGGAGAAACGCATATACATGCTTCCGCTCCAGACGTTCGTCTCCGCACCTCACTCCCATGGAGGGGGCTCTCACGGTGCACCAGGGAAGCAGCGAACGGGTGGCGAAGGCGCTCTTGAGTACCGAAAAGACAAACCCCTCGAGCGCACGTTAGAGTACATGGCAAGTGGGAAACGACAGGGGTTGCTAAGTCCACGCGTGCGTGTGTCCGAAACCTGGCCCCCCTTACGACGCGATTTGTTCTTCTACTTTCTCTCGAGAGCTTAGCTGTACGTGGACCCACAAGAGACACCAAGAACCCACCACAACAACAGCATCAAAACAAAAAAAACAGCAGTTCACGGCGGCGAGTCACACCTGCACACAAACGCGCCCTGCAAAGACCATGCCGACCGCGCCACCCCCGCCCACACATCTCAAGCTTTCTCCCGCTCTTCTCTTGTTCTCACACTCTTCGGCTCCTTCCCCTTCTTGCTGTTCGTTCACTCGAAATGAAATGGGCTCCCATTAACCCACAAGAAGAACGGAAAAAAAAAAAAATCAAAACCACCACACACCCTCACAACAACATCTAAACCGAGCCCGGTTTCACCAAACTCTGCCAACCGGTACAACTCTGCTCTCTGAGTTACCCATTGTCGGGTTTCTTCGCTCCAGTCCCTTCCTTTCCCTCTCTATGCGGCGGTGGTTTCGTGTCTAGAATAAACTCTGCATGCTTTTTTTTCAGGGAGAAAAATACCACACCGATTGCTGTGATTTTGGCTCCATCGGCAGAGCTACAGCACCCCCTCCCCCTCGGCGCTGCTCCTTCTTCGATAGCCCTGTAGCCTTGCCTCCAGAAAGAACGGATTGATTGGTGCTCTTGAAACGAAGCAGCAACAACGCAAACCGTTCGATTTTGATTCGCAACAAATCATTTGTACATGGCTGACCCTCCCTCGCCTGTTTCCTCCCCGTCTCGTCTCAGCAAACTCGTGCCTTCAGTCCACCAACCGCAGAATTAACATCGTCTGCTCAGGACAATTCACCATTCCCCCCCCACACGAAAATCTTGCACCTCAGCTGAGCTCTCCCTAAACTCTCGCCGTGCACTGCAAGAACTCTCTCTCTCTCTCTCTCTCCGGCACCCAACAACATAATTTGTCGACCACACCGCGCTCGCCATCCCTGGCGACACAGCTTGTCCGTTTTGGCGTCGTCCCACGTGCAGCACCCGCCCGCCCATCCCCCCCGCCTACACCCGACGAGAGAAACGTGCCTCTGCTCACTGCTTTTTTCGTCGTGTCCCCTCTCCTTGCAGTTCTCCCTTCCTGTCTCCTTCTCTTCCTCTTTCTCCTCCACCCCCACCTCGGTCGCCAAAAGCCCCCAAAGGCAGCTCCCATCTCTAATGCACGGATCTTCCTCTTCCTCCTCCTCTTCCTCCTCCTTGTCCTCCTTGTCCTCTTCGGCCCCAGCTCTACTGCACGGAACTTTTCCACCACCGTCGCCGCCGCCGCTGCCGCCGCCGCCGCCGCCCGCCAAACTCACGGCACACACAAACATCACACTACCCCCCCTTCTCAGTCGCCGTGCTCCCATCCTCCTCCCCCGTCGCCCCCTCCTTCTTGTTCTTCGCCGCCGCCGCCACCGCCGCCGCCACCTCGGCGGCCTTCCCCACCGGCACCGCGACCCCGGCCTCGTTCTCGAGCTGAGCCTTAACGGCGGCCACCTTTCCCACGGGGACGACCACTCCGGCCTGCTCGAGCCTGGCCTTGGTCAGCGAGTACGCCATCACGCCGCCGATAGCGGTCGTGCAGCCCGCCAGCCCCAGGGGGGTGAACCTGTGGTTCAGGACCAGGACGCTGACGATGATCATCACCACGCGCTTCAGGGTGTTGCCGAGCGCGTGCGTCACCGGGTGGATGATGTTGAGCGCGTAGAACGAAACCTCGTTGTACCTGATGGTGGCGGGTCATGGAAAGCACACACGCGCAAAACACGCGTACATGCACACACCGGTTTACATGTGTGGACGGCGAGAGGGTGGGAAAGGGTGATTATTCCTTGCTCTGATTCAAACCTTCATGTGCTACATCCCCCTGGAGCAGCAAGACGGGGTCTCCACTTCTGACCGTGTTTTTCTACAAAGAACCAGTTCAGGGGCGGAATCCGAAACCAGGGCGTACTACTGTGCCTAAATCGCACAAGCCCATGCTTGCATGGAACAGACAAAACTAACATAAACTCCCAAACCAATACCGCACGCCAACAGAAAGCTATCACGGCGTATGCATACTTGCAATCGTATCCAGCAGGGAGATATTCACGTCAGATTGGCATCATTCCGTCGAGAAAGAAAGCGGGCCCTTCTCAAACGCCGACCTTCGAGAGATCATACATGAAGACAACTACGCACATCGCAAGCATTAATTACCACAGGCTGCACACGGTGCATCCAGAGATAGATCGAGTTTGTCTCTTTCCACAATTGGGCGAACAGAATCGAGATTTTTTCTTACGTTGGTAGAAGATATGTGCACCTAAACAATGACAATAACGAAAGAACCTTTCGTCAACAGACAAACAACGTGTGCGTTCGATTTGTCGTCAAGACACACAACGAAATAAAAGGGGAAAAGTAGTAAAAAAATGTTGGAGCTCGTGGCAAGGAGAATTCGGTAGGCGCACCAAAACAAACGACATAACAAGAGGACAACTCACAAATAGAAAAACACCCCGCTTAGCAAGACGTTCTTGACGAGGCTTCGCTGGCTGTGCCCTGCGCTTAACGCCGCGTTCCAAACGCTCGCCACCCTCGGCCCCTCCACCCACAAGGCGGCGGGTGTCAGGACCAAGCACCCCAGCATGGTCATCACGGCGTACAAGTTTCCCGCGCACATCGCTCCCCCGTTCTGCGAATAGCGGCAAGGAAGCAGAGACGACCACGGTGTTTCACGAACCAACGACCAGCAAAGGTGTCCTTCTGGGAGAATGGTTTTTTCCAAGGGTTTCAAGAGTAAGGATGCGTGTGCCGCGTCGTGGTGCTGATGGTGAGCGAGACGTGCGGGGTTATAGACAGCGCGCGTCAGCAGAGGTTACCCACCACACCACCACCACACACAACATTGACGACGACAACAACGAACAACACCACCACCACCACCACCACCAAAACAACCAACAAACCACAAACACGTCCCCCCCATACCTCCTTCTCCTTGACCATGAAGATCACACAACATTGACGACGGCAACAACGAACAACAACAACAGCAACAACAACAACAACAACAAACATGACCACAACACCACAACACCACAACACCACAACACCACCACCACCAAACAACCCGCAAACACGTTCCCCCCCACACCTCCTTCTCCTTGGCCATGAAGATTTTTCCGAGAACGCTCCGAGAGGCGGCGGAGGCGTTAGACGTCATCGCCGCCCCGAAGGCGAGCGCGCTGAAGCTGATCTCCCCCGCCGAGGCCATGGCCACGCCCCCGACCACGGGCAGGAGGGTGGTGTACACCTGCCACGGCATCGCCGACCCCGCCAGGAAAGGTAGCC